AAATAATCGATTAATTAAAAAGCCAATTAACCGATAAATCAGTGTTTACAAAATATAATATAAATAGAATTATCGTTTATTTTAAATAATCGATTATTTTCAAATAAACCATTTTTTTTCGTTCATGGAAACAGATTATTCGATAATCTTTGAAAAATCGAAAATAATCGATTAATCAAAAATAATCAATTAATTAAAAAGTCGATTAACTGATAAATCGATTTAAAAAAAAACAGAATGATCGATTATTTTAAATAATTAATTATTTTCGATCAATCGATTATTATCAATAATCTATTTTTATTGTATTTCCTTTAAAATCGTTAATTCGATTATCTTTGAAATACCGAAAATAATCGATAATTCCAAAATAATCGCCTAATCGAAAATAATCAATTAATTAAGAAGCCGATTCTATGATATATCGATTATTACCAATAATCTATTTTATTGTATTTCAAAAATATTCGATTAATTAAAAAGTCGATTAACTGACAAATTGATTTAAAAAAAACAGAATGATCGATTATTTTAAATAATCGATTATTTTCGATCAATCAGATTATTATCAATAATCTATTTTTATTGTATTTCCTTTAAAATCGTTAATTCGATTATCTTTGAAATATCAAAAATAATCAATAATTCGATTTTCCAAAAAATAAAACGAATTATCTATTATTTTCTAATAATCCTTTTTTCATATTTCCTGGATTGTTCGATTATCGAAAATAATTGATTATTAAAAAGCTGATTATCCAATAAATCGATAATTTTAAAAAAATAACCAAAATATCGATTATGTAAAATAACCGATTATATTCAATCGATTATTTTCATATAATATCTTTGAAAAATCGAAAATAATCAAATAATTAAAAAACCGATTAAACGATAAATCGATTATTTTGAATAAATCTACTTTTTTTGTATTTCTTTAAAATCGATTAATACATTATTTTAAAAAAAAACGAAAATAATTTATTAAAAACAGCGGATAAATCGATTTTCATTAAAAAATATCAGAATTATCGATAAATCGATTATTTTTGTAACCCCTATCGGTCGCTTGCTTTTATCTGAGCATTTAGCTCCAAAATTTAGAGATTCGGATTTTTTGATCCAGTTATCTTTGAAATCGCATTCGCTTGTATAATAAATAAATATTGCTAAATTTTGGATTTTTTTTAGTAAACGAAAATTATGTTCGAGTTGTTTAGGGGTTTGTAATGTAACATTTTATTAACGTGACTAAGGGTCGATTCCACCGTTGTGTTAAACGAAGTTTAAAATGATATTTTTACATTAACACTGTCATTTTAATCTCCGTTTAACACAACGGTGGAATCGGACCTAACTCCTGTAACTTTAGTATTTTTTTTTTGCTTGTACTAGGTTACTTTGTTTTAAGACTGAAAATTCAATGTCACTTTCGATTTGACCGCAAATAAGATGAACCTTGAAATTTTAAGTAGGTCATCCTGTATTTCATCTAATATTCTTATAAAAATACCTTATAAAAATAAAATTTAGCTAGCAACTATGATTCTTTACCTCTTATTTATCTACCAAAAAGGGCTAAAAACTACCTTTAGAAAACATTCTTATAAAACTACTTTTTAAATACAAAATTTCGTTAGCAATAATGCCTATTTACTATTTATTTAAATTAAATGTTCAAAATTTTACCCTTTTGTAAATTTATGTAAGTAATATGAAATCTGAGTTTATGATGCTTAATATTTATTGAAACCCCTTAATGCGGATCTGAAGTATTCAGCCCAGAGTATCATGGCGCTTTATGTCAAAACGTTAATAAATATTTACCACTGAAAACGAATATATTCATAACAGTAGTACTTGTATTATAAGTACATACAATTTTTCAAGATACATCGTGACATTTTGAACTTGAAATTGAATAACTAGAACACTTTAAATTGCTAAAATACCAACAAATAAATCAAAAAACAGCTGTCAATGGTGATTAAACTCAGGCGGAGGTGTGATCGCTGAATGGAAATCGGAGCAATTCGGGTGGCGTCGTGCAACAATGATTTTCAATTGGTGGGTTACTTTGGCTTAAAATAGACTACATGCGCAGTGTGCAATGTTACATCTTCGGTCTCTTTAATCTAAGAACTGTAATTAGAAAATAGAAATAAAACATGTAAGTAGCGAAGCTACCAATAAAAAAATTTGTACACCTGATTCGAAAAAATTGTTAAGAAAAAAAAAATAAAGACAAAAGAGAAAAAGAAAAAATAGAAAAAAAAAATAAAAAAAACAAAAATAAAAAAAAACAAAAATAAACAAAACATTTAAACCATATTAAGTTCAGGTTATTTTAGTTATTAAGGTAGAGCAACTTTAATATAATTTGTAAAATAATAAAGTTTGTTATATGATATTTTTATTTGTCCACCTGACAATTGACTGGCCTGTTGGTTTATATCCAGTGCCATTAATTTAGTAAAAAAAAAATTCTTAGTTGTGGCTGGTTAATACTAAGGTCTTTGGAAAAAAGAAAGTGTATATTATATTTACAGTTATAATATAAAGTATTTACTTGGTTAGTTAATTGGTATATTATCCATCTATTCTATAAAATAGCCAAGTAAACACTAACTGTATATATTTTTTAGTAACTGTAATTTATTAATAATTAAAATATTATTTTTTGGAAATCTATTCGATAAATAATTGAACGGATAACTCTTGTTGAACGTTTCAGAAACCATTTTTCTTTAGTTGTTCCTTTGTTAAGGCTATCGAACAAATATCTACTGTTTAAGAAACCGGCCACGTCTAAAGTTAAATTTGTACTTTGCTATTGACTATTTTAAAACAAACCAGTTTCTTTATCTTTTAAGAAGTCCAAACTAAAAATATTTATAAAAATAGTTTAAAAGATTTATAAAAACTTAAAAATTACATGATATTCGTAAAAAAATCGGATTTGTCTCTTACCCACTAGGTGTGCCTGATGATGAAGTGAACATACTTCGAAACCGGTCGTCGTACAAATACAAATTTCTTTGTGGGATATAAAGGACCTGTTTTTTTTCTTTTCCCATCTCTCGTATACAACCTTTTATTTGTGTTAAACAGAATTTTTTTCCGAGTATGCAAATTAAATCTGGTCAACCATCTGATGGATTACAATTCAAATTATTTAATCCAAGCTACTTCGAGATATGAGTACAGTTCATCAAATTTCTAGAGGCTTTCGACGGCTAGACAGAGAAAACACTACTGACAGGCATCCCGACGGATTTACGCAATGAAAGTACACTCTGCGCATCAAGTATTTCACTATTTCATTCAGACGTAAATGTCAGATGTAAATTTCGCTAAAACATTTCTTTTATTTTCGTTTGTGTTTTTTGCTCATTACAGTTTAATAGAACCTAAGTATGGAGTTTAATAGCAAATTAAGAGGCCGCGTGATTAACAGTCAATCTCGCGAAATAATAGTCAATGTTATAGAGTTTATGAGAAGAGAAGGAAACTTTAATTCACCTTCAATACCATTTAAAAATGTAAATGATCGTGTTGCTGTAGCCACAGGAGTATCTAAAAACACTGTCGTCCGCATTTCTGGAGAGAAAAAAAGAATCGATAACCGTGAGATATCGGAATTTTCATCACCAAGAAAAACCATTAAAAAACCAAAAACAGTTAATGATATAGATGAAGCTGCACAAGAATCAAATTTTTTTTTTTTATTATTAGATAGCTATTTTTGTTTCTGAGTTGTGTTCATTTACAGGCTCAATTTTTTTCCGTTTCTCCTTTTTGATTTTATATGGGGTTTCAAGTTGTTTTTAACTTATTTCGACGTAAATGACAACAACATACTTTTTTAATAAAGCAAACAAGTGTTAAGAGGTATATGTACGTGTAAACTACAATTACAAAAAATTGATATGAAACCCATGAAACCACCAACAAAAATGTAAAGCTAGCTTCCGTACTAGAACATGGTGTCATTCGTCGAGATAATTTATCGTTTTGTTTAATAGATCAAGAAATGTAAATATTCCCCTGTTATTTTTTATAAAATAATAAGAGAAATAAATTTTTTTCTATTTATTATTTTGTAGAAAAACAAAATTTCTAAAATTTTAGTAATGTTTCAGAAACAACCGTTATTAATAATGGGTACCATTTTCCTTAATAAGGTAGAAATAAAATATAAACATTTCCACGATTTACAAAGGCCTACAAAAAAATTATAGGTATTTTCCGCTATCCTATAAAATTTATATTTTCTGACTCAATTTCAAAAGGTTGAAGGAATTCCAAAACACCTTTTATGGCATAATAATTATTTTCAATTCTACATACTATCTTTAGCTGCTTTTAAAAACGTTCTAAGAAAGTCCAATCAGACCAATTTAATCCCTAAACTATTCCACACTTTTAAAATTTAATTACCTAAAAATATTAAAAACTATTTAAAATAACTTGTTTAGCAGACTGTACAATAGCTATATTAGTCACACGTAGCGCGTTCTCTGTCTGGGCGTCGAACACCTCTAGAAATTTGATGAACTGTAATTCTCTATAGTATATATCCAACCACACCATGTAATATAAAGAGCACAATATTCTATTTGTCGGCGACGTTACCACACACTACTAATAAAACTGGCAAAATTTAGGTCACCTAAATGAACTCATAAACAAACTTAGTTTGGACCCAATTCTAGAAAAAAGACGTGCAACGTTTAGATCCAGAAGATTTGACTACGGATGGCAGCCACCTCAAGCCTATTTTCAATCATAAGTTTTACCTTTTGTACTAGATAGAGTAAATTGTAAATTTACAAAATAAAATAAAACAAATAGTAATATTTATTATGAAAATTTAATGATATACTTTTGGACATAAAAATAATTCTTCACCAACTTAATTATTCTTTTTCTTTTCAAAATATTAAATGTTTTTAACTTCTTGCTTTATATTATAAAAAAATGTATAACAGTTTTTAAGCTCAAATTTTATCATAGCAATTTTTATTGACACAAGACAATCTTATACCAATACCAATTGTTCCAGCAAAATTTCCATTCAATTTTTCAAGATTTCCTTCGAATTTCATGGTTTTAACCGGAGATGGCGTTCCTCTACATTTTATACTTGCCATATCACAAATTAGATCACAAAATATTTTCGAAATGGAAATAACAGCCATACCAACTTCTGCTCGTTGAGGTTTCCATCCAAGTACCATTCTTTTGTAGACCGTCACGTAGATGTCAAACCTTTCTAAAGAGTATTCTGCTCGATGGCCGTTTATGGAGAAATAACAGCCCTTTGGTTTTTTATTGTTTGAACTTTTGGATGATTTTGAACTCTTCTTTCCTTGGGTAAGAAAATCCGACTCGCATATGTATAAGGGTTCGTTATCCAAAACCTGAAACTCAACGCATTTCTCTCCACCAGGTGCTGCGCAATCGCAGAAGGGAGATAGAGTTACGTGATCTACCAAAAATTCTAGAAGAAATAGGTTTTCTCGGGCTATTTTCTTTTCCATATTTGTACCAGTTTAAATTCAGCAATTTTTAGAACATGAATTATTTCCAATAAGATTCATTTACTTATAATTTTAAGTTTTTTAAATTGGTGATAATGATTATTTAATGATTTTGTGATTGATGTTAATGATTGTTTAAACTGACAAATGCTACATTGGTGTCAAATTTAATTTTAAAAATGACACTTATTATTAAAAAAACGTTTAGTTTATTGTTTTTTTGTTGACCAATTAAGACTGGATGTTTAAACTCGCGTAGCAACTTATATGGAATATGGGAAAAAGATTAAATAAAAGAGATTTGAAATTGTTGCAATACGTCATGTACCATAAGGTTTTCGTAGACGTAAATGCAAAAAAATAACGTTTACGTTGAAATAAAAATGATTTATCTAAACAAGTAATTTGTTATTTGTGATTTTAAGGCCTCAGTTGTCAGCTTCAGTATGTTGCATGACCAACACATACTTTGATTTTCTCTTACTATATATAGAATGGTCGCACTGCGCAGCTTTCTGAGTGCCTTTTAAAAGGAGATAGAAAACTCCGCCATTTTGATCCCTTATTACGTGTTGCCTACATCTTGGCGCAATATTTTTAATAGGTGCGTTTTAATCATCCGCTTCTGCTTCGGAATTGTTGGTTTTCTTGTTTTAATCTGACAGGTTAAAACGACTAAACCGACAATTCCGGAAGCAGAAGCAGATGATTAAAACGCACCTGATATTTTGCTTGCTGCTGTCAGTGTCATGAATATTATTTTTGAAGTCACAGTTTATTACTAAAGAATCAGTTAGCTCACTCGGACCAGTTGAAAGTTCCAAAATAACATCCACTCCAGGGATACAAATTCAGGATACGCAGAAGACTGCTGTTTTATTATAGGCGGTTGTCATATATTGTATTATCCGAGTTGCACAGTGTATAAACTGAAACATTGAGATCCAAAGTGCCGACGCAGAGTGAGCGATCTGATTCTTTAGCTGTAAACTGTGTCACAGGGTTCAAAATGGCCGCGACCTATGTTGGGCGTGTCGGACCTCTCTCTTGCCTCGTATAGTAATCAAAGTATGTGCCGCACCCTATGTTGGACTTGTCGGACCTCTCTCTTGCACCGTATAGTGATCAAAGTATGTGTCATAAACGCACAAAAATAGGCCTCAGTTGTCAGTATGTTCCATGACCACATACTTTGATTACTATATAGTGCAAAAGAGAAGTCAGACAAGTCCAAGATAGGGCGCGGTCATTTTGTTGCAAATACTAGCAAATGCCATTGCGTAAAATTTAGAAAATTGTCTGTAGCTGATAGAAACAAATTTATCAGAAATAATTGACATTGTTACAACTGTATGACATGATTCAAAGGAAAAATGTCATAGTTCACTCCGATGCCGCACCTGTGGTATGTCCCATCACAGTATACTGCATAAAGACAGAAAAGAACAGCCAATTTTTACAAAACCTATTAACAGTTAATGATACCAGATCAATAATATTATAGTAGCTTCTTAATGTGAACCTGTATCTACGTCGACACACATAGGAAGAGAAGAAAATACAGTGTTAGTACCTACGGCTATGGTAAAGGTACAAACTTCTAATGGGATGTTCCAATTTCTTCGAGTGCTAGTTTATCAAGGGTTGCAGTCATCCTTTATCACAAAAAAAAGCAGAACAACTTTTAAACTTACCAAGAAAAAGAATATAAGCAGACATTTCTGGATTAGGAGATGGAGAATCACACATTTCTAAATGACAAATTGAAGCTACAGTAAAACCACGATTTTCTAGCAACTAAACCTTTACTGTACATCTACTTAAATAAAAAAATAAGCTCATAGCTGATCCAACTTGTAACAAACCTAGGAGCAGAAGAATATGACAAAATCATACTTCTTGGGCTCCACAAAATTGAAGATGGTGTAATAGTACAAAACGATGGAGAAAACATGCAGTTGCCTTTACCACAGATCAAGATACATCCTGACGACAAGGGTTATCAACGCATTGTGTGGCGATATAATAATTCAAACAAAATTGAAGAATATCAACTCAACACCGTAACATACGGAACCAAAGCAGCATCATATCTGGCCATAAGAACATTACAACAAAGAATATCGTTTTCCCGAGGCTTCCAAAATCATCCTAAGTGATTTTTAAGTTGATGACATCTTAGCTGGAGCAAGTACAAAACACGAAGCATTATTAAAACTTCAGAAAGATTTAATAGTAACGCTCAAATCTGGGGGTTTTACATTAATAAAGTGGTCAAGCAACTGCCCAAAGATCCTTGACACTTCCAGAAAATTTCAAAGACAATATAATACAATTGACAGAAGATGAAACAAGAAAGTCCCTTGGTGTCTTGTGGTCGCCGACTTGGAAGGGTCAGCTGGCTTCATGTCGAAGTACAGTTTTTCTCTTTCTCTACCTTTGAATGGTTGAGATTGTGCATTTCTACTTGTTGGGATGAGCCCGCCCCCACGTGTTTTCTTAAATTGCAACCACCTTTTAGGAGTGGTTCTTTTATTTCTTACGATTCAAGCCTCAAGTTATGGTGGAGAACAGGGACCGTATTGTTGCAGTCCTTTTTAATCTAGTTAAATATAAATTTTCATGCTTCTACATTTATTGACGAAGTCTCTGATGATGGCCTAATAGGCTGAAAGCGCTTAGACTAATATTACTGAGTTTTATTAATAAAACTCTATCTACACACTTTAAATACTTTCGATTCATTTCTCAATTTAAAAAGTGTGATTTTTTCCCTTAGATATAGCTCAGTTTCTGGATTGCAAGAGAACCTTAATTCCTTTTAGGCGGTCGTTTAAATAATTAAATTTAAATAACAAAAAAAAATCTAAAGAAGCCAATATTTTAAGGAGACTCACCTATTGGTATGTCTGCGTTCTGGAATTCTTGAAGGGGGCCCCACACGTTTTCTTCTTGGGAAAACGGAACACCGACGAACAAAATAACAAAAATTTTGATTTTTCAATGCGAACACTTCAGAGGTTCATACGGTACTACTGGTCTATTAAAAATCCAAAAATGTCCTTTATAAACGCACAGATGTGCGCCGATGCGAGTGATTCCCAATATATTGGCAAGAAATAAACTATTTTGATAAAAATATTAAGGGTCACTAGCATCCAATTAATTATGAGAAATATCAACATAAAACAATTATTCTAAATTAAGGAAAAAACGCGTAAATACCCAACAAAAAGCTTTTATTGCAATTTTGCAGGGTATTTTTAATTTAGTTAGCCTGGACTATATAGTCGACCGTTAGAAAAAAAATATTTTTTAAAGCAAAAATTGTATATGAACTGTAAATTTTCGTAAACTAAATAATAAAAACATTCCCATTTGATATTTTATTTATTAAATTAATGAAACTTTCGGTGTGGTAATTCATATTAAATACATTTCTCAATAGTTGAATTACGAGCAATTGGCTTTTTAGCCGAGCTCGTATATCCAATATCCATCATTAGAGACGGCCATCGCAATTAAAGATTTATTTCCAGCACACATGGCACCCTGCCGGTTCAGAACGCCGGGTAATCACCGGATATAATTTAGTGCATCGTGCAATTGTAGATGTCGCTAGGGAGGCACTCGTCACCAGCCAACGTTAATTTACGCGGCTGCGGCAACGTGAACCCGTGTCGAGGGAGTAACTTGTGGACTTTTCTCGGTATTGTTGCGGTTTCACGTTCACGATTTACCGATTCACATGCTGTTTTCGGGGCCGCTAATGATGCACTGTGTGTGTGAAACGTTCCTACCGTTTTGCTATTGTGTTGCGGTAAGAATGGGAAAGATCAAACGCAGCAGCAATAATTACCTTCAACGGAACGCTGGCTGGCTATTTACGATTCAGAATGCACGTTGAATTGCCAGCACTATTGATCAATCAATTATATTAGAGTGATTATATTAATGAAGAAAGGTATCCAACTAAACAAATGTGGAGATCTTATAATTATGTAAGAAAATCCTACGCTCCCGGGCCTAATTATTTTCTATTCTTTTCTTAAGTATTTTATTGCGTTTTCTTGAGAAAATATCAATCAAAAGTTATTTGTTATATATCAGATAATGCTTTTGTAGAATTACATATTCGAGTATTAGATTCTTTGCGTCTTGATGAGACGTTGCCTCTATATTGACGACTCCGGATTAAGAATTATCTTTAGGGCCAGTCTTTTTACCTCTGAGTAAAGTTGAAAGTGACGACTTGTTGGTTAAACTATAGAGCTACTGTTTGTTAATGTAATTTTATTCAGAAGCGAAAAAATCGACCCTTAACCTTATAAAATTCTATTGTGATTTAATGGATTTAACTGATTTAATTGATTACTTATTTTTTGTTCTAAATTTTTTATTAGATTACAAGCATTTTGAAATTCATCAACTGGCTTGGAATTTGTATTATTTCGATATATTGATTGTTGTAAATTTCTAAAATTTGTTTTAATTGTTTCAAACTCTTTAACTACGTCCGAAATATCAAAGATTTGGATAAATGACCAAAAATCTATTTTATTTTGAGCATTACCTAATTTGTAGGGCAAAAGGCCAGGGTTATTATTAAGGTTATGGAATTTGGGATAGGTTACTCCGCCGCAGAGGTGGATGGATAACTTGTAACAAGTGGAGGTTGTTTTTATTCTTTTATATGGATTATTTCTTTTTTGTTTTTATTTCGTTTTTCGGTAATTTCTACTTTATTTCGGTCTAAGAGATTAGTGATTTCGTATGGAACAATGAATTTATTATTTTTCTTACTACGATATTGAGAATTTTGTTTAAATACTATCTGACCTAATTTAAAATCATTATTTATATCTCCTTTCGTATTTCTTTTGTCAGTTATTTTTTGTTTTTGGTTTTCTAAATTTTCATAATAATCAAGTACTAAAGCCTTTTTTTACCTGTAGATTCAGTAGACCAATGATCTGCTTTTGGTGGCTATAAATTGTCCA